CCCTTAGCTAACCGGTAGCTAATTTTATGGCTGGTTTGGCGAACCGGCAAATCCCACCCCTGGCTGGCTCCGCCCACCCCTCCCCTCCGCTCCCAGGAGTCTCCACACGGCCCGTTTTGGATGCCAGGTAAATACAGGGCCCGTATGGAGGCTCGGGGAAGGTGAAAAACACCAGAGGCCTCCAGAGCCTGGGGAAGCCATTTTCGCCTTCCCGGAGGCTCGAGAAAAGTCCCCAGAGCGCGGGGAGGGCGAAAACACCCCCCCACCGCCATGGTGCAGGAAGTTGACTAGGCCACTCCCACCCAGAAACTGGGCAGAGAACCAGTTGCTAAAATTTTTGAAGCCCACCCCCGATGCAAGCATATTTCACACATAACCTAGAGCAGGGGTGTCCAACCTTGGCAACTTTAAGACTTATGGACTTCAACTCCCAGAATTCCTCAGCCAGCAAAGCTGGAATTCTGGGAGTTGAAGTCCACAAGTCTTAAAGTTGCCAAGGTTGGATACCCCTGGCCTAGAGTTTTAAACCTTTGCATGGAAGAGGCCATATGAAATGAGCCTGGATCCAGGGCAAAATGAGATGGTAAGGACTTAAGAAGGAAGGAGGCCGAACCACTTCTGTATTTTCAGAAACACGGAGGCGTTTAAAATGGCATCCTCATGTTAAAAAAACAAAACACGGCGTTATAAATATGAGTTTCCAACTCTTATTTAATGAGGAGAAGGATTCTTCACCAATCTCTTCTACCTCTCCCCCCAACCTCCTGACAATTGGGCTACTTTCTACTTGTAGGGAGGAGTGAGAGTTTTAATATAGGCTGACATTAGAACATAGACGTACCCTAAATATTTGTACAGGGAGTCCTCAATTTACGACTACCAATTGAGCACAAATGTTCTGCTGTGAAGTGAGACATTTATTAAATGGGTTTTGCAACGATTTTGCAATCTTTCTTGCCACCATAGTTAAGTGAATCATTAGTTGATAAGTTGGTAAGCCCGGTTGTTAAGTGGATCTGGCTTCCCCATTGACTTTGCTTGTCAGAAGGTCTCAAAAGGGAGATCACATGACCTTGGGACAATGCAACAGTCATAAGTAGGAACCAGCTGCCAAGCATCTTGATTTTGATCATGGGACCACGAGGATGTTACAAAGGTTGTAACAGTGAAAAATGGTCATAAGTTGTTGTTTTTTCAGTGCCTTTGTAACTTGGAATGGTCACTAAATGAACTGTTGTAAGTCAAGGACTATTTACATTCTGAAGTGATGCGCTCTGTCCTGCAAAGAAGTAGACCTTCAGTAGCCGGTTTTGGTGCACCTGAGGCCACTGCTTCTGTCTGAGTCCTTCTTTCTGTTCCAGGTTCACCGTTCTCTTCTCACACGGCAACGCCGTGGATCTGGGCCAGATGTGCAGCTTCTACATCAGCCTGGGCACCCGGATTAGCTGCAACATCTTTTCTTACGACTATTCGGGCTACGGTGCCAGCACAGGGAAACCTTCAGAGAAGAACCTCTATGCTGATGTCGACGCAGCCTGGCAGGCCTTACGCACACGGTGAGGAAAAGCAGCACCAGCCTTTTGTTTGTTTGAAAAGCTCCAGGATTTTTCATAACAGTGTCCGGATTGATTGATCGATCCATCAGCTTCCAGCAAGGGCATTCAGAGGCCTCCTCCTTAATGTTTGCTCAGAAATCGGATACTTCCTAAATAGAGGCTCCATTCTCAGTTTTTGAGGCCAAGAAAGATGGATAGATATGTTGTCCATTAAGCATAAATAGACAAATGAAAGAAAAGCTGTACTTGTTCGTTGCCTACCGTAGTGCCCAAAATAGTCCCTGGAGCTATCAGTGTGACTGTGGACACCTGTTTTGGTTCCCACCAGGTTTCCTCTTTCCTCTGATTATTTTTTTTTAACATAAAAACAGCAAAAACAAGAAGTTAACAGTGCTGCTAAGTGAGCAGCAGCCTCTAGTACTATACTGGCTTCTTAGAGCCCTGAAATATCTTCAGAATTATATATTTGTCCCCTCTTTTCCCAAAAATATGACGTACCCTGAAAGTAAGTCCTAGCTTGAGTGTTACACATGTGCTCAATATAAGCCCTCCCCCCCCCCCCCCCCCAAAAAAAATAAGCCCTAATTAAGATTCCGCCCACTCCAGAGTGCACAGGTAAAAATTAAGCTGGGGTGGGAATGCGGGAGGTGGAACTGCCCTACTACTTACCTATGGACAGTTGTATCCAGGCACACCCCAACACCTGCCTTGCCAGCCCATTTCTTCTGCAGCCACCAAGCCTTTCCTAAAGGCCTCTGTAGTTGATAACAGAGCCCCAGATCGATCCGAAGCTCTGTTATTGGCTGCAGAGGCCTTCAGGAAAGCCTTGCCAGCCGCAGAAGAAGTTTCTGAAGGCCTCTGACAGCAAAAAGGAGACCAGGGGCAATGTGTGCAATCGAGGTTAGTCAGTGGATGACATCCCCCGAAAATAAAACCTGGTGCTTTTTTTGGTGCCAAAAAAAAAAAAAAAAAAAGACAGGGTCTTATTTTTGGGGAAACATGGTATGTGGGAATGACCTTGAGAGACTGGTCTTAGAGGTGGTACCTAGGGAATAATCAGATGAGAGACAGCCTGCAGCTGGATAGAGGGTGAGACAAGAGGCTGAGAAGGAGCCCTCAGGGTGTAAAGGAGATGGTGGGAGAATTGTATTTTTACACCTGCAAGAGTCTGCTAGTATAGCTCTACAATGAAGTAGAATTAGCTCCTCTGGCTGGGTTTCCTGTCTGATCTACTTGGTAAGGCTGACAATTCTCTCTATGGTGGCTCCCTTAGTGCTGTCTGAGCTTGGTTGTTTTCTTGCAGACGTTTCATTACCAAGCAAGGTAACATCATCAGTGCTAGTAGCTAGTAGCTCCACTGGCAGTGATGATGCTACCTGGTTTGTTAATGAAATGTCTGCAAGAAAAAAAACCAAGCTCAGAGAGCATCAGCCCCGAGCTACAAATACTCTCTTCTATCAATTCTATGTTTTCTTACAAAATAATTGGCAGCTGCTGCCTCGTGCCGAGTTTGAAAATGTGCCCATTTATCCAGAAAAGGACAGAGTTAAGCAGGAGGAAGCAAAATGTTTTTCAGGGCCAGGGAGATTGGGGTGGATGGGTGGGTGGAGGAAAATAAATGTTTCACATCATGGTTCAGCCAGCCGACCCTTCCACTCCTTTAGGACTGAGTGAGAGGCTAGATGCCTTCTGGCAGCTCATCATCAGGAGACATAGACAAGCTGGGGTGCCCTGTTCATTCCAGCATCTCTTTGGGGCTGGATTGCCTTCAAGTGAGATTGTTCCTTTCCTCAGTCATGAGGAAAAGCCCCAAATAGCATCAGCCTGTCAAAGTTTCCTTTGGAAACCAAGTTTGTACACCCGCAGAGAGCAAATTCCATCCCTTGTACAAACTGTACTTCTTCAAGCAGTACCTAAGGAACATAAAAGATGTAATTTACCTTGCAATGGCACCTCTTTGGGTTTTTTTCCTCTCTCTCTCTCTCTGTACAGATATGGGATCAGTCCCGAGAACATCATCCTCTATGGGCAAAGCATTGGGACGGTGCCCACAGTCGACCTGGCCTCCCGCTATGAGTGCGCCGCTGTCATCTTGCATTCACCTTTAACATCGGGCATGCGCGTTGCCTTCCCAGAAACCAAAAAGACCTACTGCTTTGATGCTTTCCCAAAGTAAGTCCTTGAGAAAGCGGGAATGTGGGTGTGGAGGTCAGCCAAGGAGGGGCACATGTACAATTAAAATTTACTATTGGAGTCTGCTGGATTTTGGCTTTCCTGTCCCCCTCCCTCCAAATCTTTTAACTTCTTTTTTGTCGGAAGCATGATTATTGAAAAGTCCATCCTGCCATTTTAATTTTTTTGTCTATTTTTTAAGTGACCTCGTAATCCCTTCCATCGGGGTGGAGTCGGGGCAACTGAATGGAGCTGAGTGTTTACCGGCCGGATGCTCTTCCTGTCGCCAGTGCAGAGTTCACAGCAGATAATTTATTACTCAATGCAACTCCAAAAAGCTTTTCAGTGAGAGCTTCCTGTGTATACATCAGGAGTCGCCAAAATTGGCAACTTTAAGACTTGTGGACTTCAACTCCCAGAATTCTTCAGCCAGCATGGAATCCTGGGAGTTGAAATCCAGAAATCTTAAAGTTGCCAAGTTCGGAGACGCCTGGCGTAGATGCCGCTCCGCTTACTTTTAGTTACAAATAGAAGTAGTAGCTCAGTATTTGTTTGGTTATTTCAAATTTGATGTACTATGCAGTACAGGGAATCCTCAAATTACAGTCACAACTGGAACCAGAATTTCTGTGGTTAGGCAAGATGGTGAGTTAAGTGAGTCATGCCCAATTTTATGACCTTTTTCGCCATCGTTGTTAAGCAAATCCCTGCAGTTGTTAAGGGAATCAAGTCATTAAGCAAATTTAACTTTTCCCATTGACTTTGCATGTCAGAAGCCATCTGGCAAGTTCACAAAAGGTGTTTAAACAGATTAAACAGATAATCAGAGTTGGAAGGGAGCTTGTAGGTCATCTAGTCCAACCCCCGCCCAAGCAGGAGACCCTACACCATTTCTGACAGATGGGAGTCCAATCTCTTCTTGAAAGTCTCAAGTGATGGTGCTCCCACAACTTCCGAGGGCAACTTCTGTTCCATGGGTTGATTGTTCTCACTGTCAGAAAGTTTCTCCTTGTTTCCAGGTTGAATCTCTCCTTGTTCAGTTTCCATCCATTGTTCCTTGTCTGGCCGACAGGTGCTTTAGAAAATAGCTTGACCCCCTTCCTCTCTGTGGCAGCCCCTCAAATATTGAAAGACTGCTATCATGTCTCCCCTGGTCCTTCTCTTCACTAGACTAGCCAATGCCCAGATCCTGTAACCATTCTTCGTATGTTTTAGTCTGTGTCGGGGTTTGTCAGGGTTCCAAATAATACACCCATAGCAAACAGAACTCCGAGGCAAGCAGGCTCCTCAAAGAACAGGTTTATTGGATATATCATATTGGCACAGACTGGTGAAAACTGACTCCCTGGTTGAGGTTACTGGATGGTCCCTCACCAGTTCTTGGGACAAGACTCAGCATCTGAAGTCCTCCTCTGCTCGGTACAGGTCCCCGGTGGCCAGCCAGTCGCTGCGGACTTTTGGCCAGGCACCCACTTGGTGCTCGATCTCTACCACTGCTTCCACCACCCACTTGGTATCTGAGGGGGTCTGCAGGATTTCCAGGACCCCACCTCTAGCACCTGCCACATCTTCTCCTTTTTTCTCCATTCTGCCAACTTCCTTGAGTTCTTCCGCTGCCTGGGGGTTCAGGACCCCAGATAGACCTCTGGTTGGAGCAGAGAAACTAGTTTAGAGTCAGTTTGATGTCACCTAATTAAAAGTAAAGTTTTTTTTCCCCCTTTCCCACATGGTCCAATCAAGGTGCTGTCTGTCCGGTTGCTTGGAAACTTCACTCTTCCTCTTTTCAGCCACCAGTGGGAATGTCCTTGGTTCTCAGGGGAAACTATTTTGTTTTGGCGACAAAACCCCCAACTATCTCTATTCCCCCCCCCCCCCCCCCCCATCCCTCAGCACCAATGTGGCAACATCGAAGCCTCCAAGATGGCTTCAGTCAGGCCAGCTTCAGCATTGACAAGGTGATCACATGACCACGGGACGTTGCAACACGCCAGTTGCCAAGTGCCTGAATTTTGATCATGTGATTTTTGGGGATGCTGCGACGGTCATAAGGCCGAAGACCGGTCATAAGTCACCTGTTAGGACTCCAACATGCACCCCCATTCAAATCATAAGTCTCTAGCCGCATCTAAAAAATATTGATTTATTAGGAGTGGTCATGTTGGTGTTAGTTGGGTGCAGCTGATACTAAAATACATCATTCATTTCTCCCTTGACCCTGGTCTTCTCCCCACCCCCCTGGATGTACATTTTCCACTGAGACACATGCATAGCCAAGAGTTATCAATCATGCTCTCCAGTAATAATTTTGCAGTCAGAAGCTTTGGTTGCCAAAGCGATTATCTCAAGCATTTAAGGAATGCACTGCTTCCCCCCCCTCTCCCTCCCTTTCTGCTGACAACTGAAACGACCAAAGAAATATATATATTTTTTTTAGTTGACATCACCTTTTTCAGTGCTGCTGTAACTTTGAATAGTCACTAAATGAATGGCTGTGAAGTGAAGACTACCTATCGTCCATTTAGAACACGTTCACTTTCAAAGCACGTTGCTTGCTTGTAATTCAGAAAGAGAGACTTAACATTAGAGGGACTTGTGCTCATTTGCACAGATAATCTCTTCCCTGGCAATCAGGAATCTTATGTAACCCGATTTTTCTCCTGACAAAAGGGGCCTATTTCGTGTTTTAAGCAAGAGGCTGTAACTGACCAATGGAGCGCCATTTATGGGTCAAAAGGACACACCCTTTGCACATGTTCAGTAAAAAAAAAAATCTTAGGTCTTAGATCAGGGGTGTCCAACCTTGGCAACTTTAAGACTTGTGGACTTCAATTCCCAGAGTTCCTCAGCCAGCTTTGCTGGCTGAGGAACTCTGGGAGTTGAAGTCCACA